ATTGAATCCTTATCATACCCTTATCATGGTAGAAAAATTTCTATCATGATACATCCAAGACAATATATCACAGGTCTTAAAATATCTCAAAAAGCAATTAGAACCATGAGGGACAGACAGGATCCTCATGTCATGATATTCAAATCAGATCATAAATCAAGAGGGACAGACATAATCCTCTTGGTCATATAAATACTTTTAATAAAAAGGATTAGAGTTTACATGCTTCACAAAAAAATATGTCCTAAGTTGGCACAAGATACATTGTATAATCTAAAATAAGAGGCAACATAAAAGATGGTGTCTCATACACCATAGTTACACCTCTGGTGCTTTCTCGGCCGGACTCGCTCCTGTAAAAATATTAACCACGGAGAATGAGACTTAAAAGTCCCAGTAACTAAAAATTAATATGTAATGATGCATGCGGATGTAACTAATCATGTGATTGCTAAGTGGGCACACAAAACATTTAACCGAACAATATTTTCAAACAAACCGAACAAGTATTTAATTGCATGACTGCACCTTATATCCTCCTTTCACCATGCTCGGACGCCAAATCACCCGGCCAAAGGTGAGTTGGACCAAGCGACACGCCACTCATTGGGTCCAATGAGGGCTTACCACGTGGTAATAATTAACCAAACAGAAATTTTCATTAACACCATACATTAAAATACCCTGACAAGTCATGCATCATTCAAATATCCAAACAGAAATATATCCGAACAATAATATCTCATCATGATAAACAAAAATAAATTTTTAACCCACTTGGCAATAATTTTAAACAAGTATATACAGTATTTATTTTCAATAATTCATAATTTTTCCAAACAACAAAACAACACATAACCATTCACAAACACACTCATCACAACACATTAATAATGGTTACCTTGTGTCTTGAATAACAAGTTCCCCTTCACAACTCCTCTTTCACCACTATCTTTGTGAACACAATCTACATAGTTATTTCATAATACTATATATTAATTTTACATTAAAATAAATAACTCTAATTTTAAGAGTTAGAAAGTCTTAGATCTATAATTCATATTAACACTAATTTAAGATTTATGCCTCATTTAACTTTTTAAATTCTTTTTTTTAAATTCTCGTACCCTAATAAACTTTTTTTTATCCTCAAATCACTTCTAGTATCACAATTTCATCCTTCTATATTCTAAAAATTCATCCAAAAATAAATTAAAAATTTTAAAATTATCCTGAAGCCTCAAATCACCTTTCTATAACCTCAAAAATACCTATTCATACTTAAATAAATATTTAATAATTAGAGGTTCATCCCTACATCTCAGATTCCACATAAATTCGACCATATAGATCTAGATTTTAACTCAAAAATTCTTAAACATGAGTTTCAACCTCAAGAAAGTATTCTATAATATTTATTATATCCCTAAGAGTTTTAACCTATATTTTTAATCCATCATATCATCAGATTAACTATCCTATAGAAAAAAAAATTCTAATCAGAATATTTACTCTATCCTATAAAATAATCATATCACTAGAAAGCTAATATTATTTAAAAAATAACTATAAAATTAATTTTAAAATTAAATAAATTTTTAAATATTAATCTAAACAGGAAAGTTAGAACATACCTGAAGAAAAAGAAAATAATCCCCCCTTGCGAGAAAAACGCCGAGCAACGTGAGAGAAAGAGAGAAAAATAATATAAAAATGAGATTGTGGTCCCAAAATTATATTAAAAAAAACTATAGGTTCAAATTTAATTATTCAAACTTTTGGGCCAAAAGTTACAATTTTCTCTAAATTGCATCTTAACCTCTCATGCTTCCTAATGCACACACCCCCTCCTTTTTATACATGAAGGCACCTCTTCTCTTCCCTCATCTAATCAATGTGGGACTTAGAAACAACAACCTTCCACCCCCCCTTTTTTTGTTCCTTCTACCTTCTCTTTTTTTTAACACACAATAAAAAATTATTTATGTATTATATCTTAACTAAATATTGCTTATGTGATTTTAAATTTAAATTTTTAAATTTATAATTAAATACCTAACCATAATATCATTTTTAAATAACCTCAAATAATATAAATTCCTATTATTATCATTTTTTTTCCTCAAAACCTAAATTTCACAATTTTTTTATTATATAAAAATCAGGATGTTACATATACAACTCAATTTTTTTAAAAACAATTGGGTCTTAAAATATAAAAATTGATATTTAAATATATTTTAAACATTATTTTGAGATATTTTATTAATTAGAAATAATAAAAATATTAAAAGATAAATATTTTAAATTTTTATTAGAAATAAGTATAGTAATGCACTCAAATATATGATATTTTAGTATAAAATAACATAAAACTTAAAGAATAAATTAATATTTATTATATTTTATATCTTTTTTAAAATGTTAGTTTTTTATTCGGATATTTGGGCCAAGCCTTAACCTGATCAGACTAGGTTTGAATTTTCTCGATCCTATTTGGGTTGACCCAAATATACTCAAACATTAAAAAATTATTATTTTTTCGAGCGAATTTGAGCTGGCTTATCAGGTTTGGCTTAAGTTATCGACTCTAGTGTTAGATAAAGCTTTCTAAATACATTTATTTGCATCAACTCTCACAATATGTTCCTCCTCTCCAAATAGGTTTGTGCATCTAGTGATCCAGAGTTCCCAACATAAGTAGGCGAATGTCATATGCCAAGGTACCTTCTTAGAAGTTTCGCTGCCCTGATCATTTTTGGAGTTCCATTTGATCCAGTTGAGGCCCTGTAGTTGCATGAAGGTGCTCCAGTATTCTGGTTTGATGATCTGTCTCCAAGCATCTCGTGCGATTTTACAATCACAAACTACATGCATGTCTGTCTCTTCATTGCAACCAATTGGACATGAGCTTGACATTGTTAATCCCCTTTGTTCTCTTAGTTTTGCAGTATGTATTCTATTTCTTCCCAAGAGCTAAAGGAAAATTTTTATCTTTTTCGGGACGCACCATCTCTAGATTTTTGTCTAGATGTTGTCCCTATTATTACTTGTACCTACAAAAAGAAAATCATATGTAAATTTAAGGTAAAAAGAGCTATCAGTGGAATAGTTTCCACACAAATTTTTTCCTCCCTCTCCAGACATTTGGTGGGCCAATAATTTTGTACTCATTAATTATTCTCTCTAACTCCAATTGCTTCATCTTCACACAAAACTAAAGTGATAGAGCTGACACTGATACATTAATTGTCACCTTCCGAATAAACAATTTCCACCTCCAACGCCGAAAAATTTCCATCTTCCGGTTTTTATTTTTTTTTTTTGCCGAAATATCTTCTGATATGTACCTTTTTTTAAAAATGAAAATCTCGCTAGAACCGATGACATTTCCGTATTCATGACAACAGAGAAAACCTGCATAATTGAATTGTGGAAAACTTTAGTGTTATTTCACAGGAAAAAAAATTAAATGACAGATTGCTTAGATTATATCAGAATGACGCGGGTGTTCATTGGACGCGTCAAAGCATTACAAGGCACAATTTACTCGTTTAGAACCCGTGCCACCAGACTGGAAAAGTCGGCACGAAATTGTAAGGTGACTTACGTGGTTCATTGTCTTGTAGATGCATTGGATATTAACACAGTGCACACTGAGTGGCGATCATAGTATATGGGGGTCCGCCACCAGAAGAATCACTGCCTTCTACGATAAAGATTGAAAGTTGTAGAATTGGGCCTTGAGATCTCCCACAAGGCCCATCAACAAGCCCAACTTGACTCAGAAATTGCGTCCCATCGCCCTTTCACCTTCGCCAGACCCATATCTGACTGCCATGATCCCAGGCCTGACAGCCCATGTCACTAAAAGCCAGTGTTTTCTCTTTTCATTAGTTATCATCTCATCAAGCTGTCCCTAATTGTGAAAACAAAATGACCCGAAAAAGCCACAAGCACTTGCGTTTCTCTAACCAAAAAACATTGTGTTGGTTAAAAAAAAAAAAAAACATCGTGTATCGAGCCAGCACCCGCATTGGTTTCCCTTCCCCATCAGAAACAAGCCAATCTTAATTATTTGTTGATTCATTAATTAATTAAGTAATGCTCCTCAATCTTTTGCATTGGATTTGGTAGTTAGCTTCCCTCCTCCTCTGCATCCTTCCCTCCTCTCACCCTCCTCTTATTAAATATGCACAGTTAAGATTAAATTTTTTAATTTTATATTTATTAAAATAAAAAATTGTTAAACATGGTAAGTAATCTGGATAGTTTATTTAATGTGAGTTATTCAAATTTAATATTAATTTCGTTTATATTTTTAACGTTACATCTGCACTATCCATAATATATTTAGATAATCAATTCAAAAAAATTATAAAAAAATAATAATAAAGAGACGATATCATATTTACACTTAATTTTTTTGCTTGATGAGTACTTCACTATATGATGGATTAAAAATTCATATTTAAATTGTTTCTTTATTTCTTATATATTCTTTTCATTTTAACAATAAGGTAGCCTGATACGTATACAGTTTCTAGAATTCAGCATGCATGGGAGGAGATTCTAGATTCTATACCATCCTCAAAGAAGCCTCCATTGCATGTGACAAAGTGATGACCTCAGCCAAGGAAATGATGCCAAATTTTTAAATGAATGTATCAGTTCTATAATTTTGTTAAAGCCTATTTCGATAGAGGGTTTCGTTTCTCGTTTTTTTTTTTTTTTGGGTGTCAACTACTACAATTAATGAGAGGGGTCAATGCATGTAATTGAAACTTCAGACAACGGAAGCCTTGAAAAGGACAGGCTAAAAATTGAACCACAAATATCCCGATTTAGACAATAACAAACACCCAAACATAGTCATGCTGATATGCTAGGAACACAAGCCACCTTACATCAATCAATCTATTCTAATTAAAGACTTTCCTTCAAACTACCAGTATATATATCTCATGCCTTTCTCTCATCATTTCAGCAACAATAAGCTTTCAAAGCCGTTCAGAGCCTAGATCACTAATAAAGGCTATGGCGGCCAAGGCTTTTCTTCGTTTCTTCCTTGCTCTTCTTTCTTGCAGCATTGCAGCTGCATCCCGCAGCCCTGGCCCTTCCCGTAGCCTCCTTCAAGCTGCTGCTCCTGCCACTCCCTCCGCCGGGGCTGCTCCTGCCTCTCCTATCGCCGAAGCAGCTCCAACAAATTCTGTCTCTCCTGCCATTCCCCCGGCCGGGGCCGCACCTGCCATCACCACTGCCGGAGCTGCTCCTGCAATTCCTCCAGCGGGGGCTACACCTGCAAATACTACCGCCGGTGATGCTCCTGCGGGGACTGCACCTGTCAACACCACCGCCGGTGCTGCTCCTGCCGCTCCCGCAGGTGCTGCTTTTGCTCGTGCCGCTCCCGACGCTTCTGGTCTAACAGTTTTCGACGTCACAACCTTCGGTGCAAAGGCCGATAACAAGACGGACAATGTCATGGTAAGGACACCGGCATTATTTCGTGCATTAGTGATCGCGCGCGCGGGCAATTCTGATGGGAAGCAAGGAATGGACAGTGTAAATAGGACACCTGAACTTGTTTGCGCTTGCAGGCATTCATGCACGCGTGGATCGCGGCATGCAAGAACAGCACCACACCCTCCAAGGTATTGATTCCAGCTGGAGCATTCGTAGCAGGCCCAACAGTGTTCGCAGGCCCATGCACTAGCCCAAAGCCCGTAACGGTTGAAGTGCTCGGGAACATAGTGGCCACCACAGACCCATCGGAATACGTGTCTCCCGAATGGTTCACCTTTGAACGCGTTGACGGACTCGTGGTTACCGGCAACGGAACTTTCGATGGCCAGGGTGCCGCTTTATGGCCCTTCAACGATTGCCACGGAAAATCCACCCAGTGCGCCTCCCTCCCTTCGGTACAAAACTAAATAAAGTCGAACCTGATTAGATTATCTGGTGAAGGTTACATGACAATTTTTATCTAACTGTTGATGTTATAATTACCTCGCACTTGCACTCTCGCAGTCCTTGAAATTCAATGCAGTGAGTAATGTGATCGTGAATGGCATTAGTTCCGTGAATCCCAAACAATTCCACTTCCATCTCCACGAAAGCAGTAATTTCTCGGCCAGCTATCTGACGATTACAGCCCCCGGGAACAGTCCGAATACTGACGGAATGCACATTGGGTCCACCACTTCGGTGACTGTGTCGCATAGCGTTATCGGAACGGGCGACGACTGCATCTCCATCGGAGAAGGGTCGAACAATGTGACCATCTTCAACATCACTTGCGGACCAGGCCACGGAATCAGCGTGGGAAGCCTGGGGAAGAGGCCGGACGATAAAAGCGTGAACGGGGTTTCCGTCACGAACTGCACATTCAAAGGCACGACCAACGGTGCGAGAATCAAGACCATGGTGGGGAGCAAGCCGGGGGAGGCCAAGTCGATCTTGTATCAGGACCTTGTGATGGAAAACGTGAGCAACCCGGTGGTGATCGATCAGAGCTACGGCACTGCCAAAGTGAGGTTCCAGTCAAATTCCTTGTGGAAGATCAGCGACGTCCATTTCAAGAACATAAAGGGAAGCACGCCCAGTAACGCCGCGGTGTCCTTGGATTGCAGCATCAAGAATCCTTGCGAAGGTGTCGAAGTGGCGGACGTTGATCTGACTTTCATCCCGACGCGCCGCAACACAACGTTCTTTTCCACGTGTGCCAATGCTAAAGCTACCTTTACGGGCACCCTGAACCCGCCGGCCTGTGCCGCGTGAGTCTTTTTTTTTTTTGGGGCGTGCGTACGCAGCTGAGGGCTTTCATCCATGTATCTCTATATTTAATTTTCCGATACATTTAGATCGGTCCTGGACGCAGAATTTTTATTTATTTTGCTAAATAGATGCGTAGGCTAAGATATATTAGTCTTGGTCTGGCCATCCTCCATGGAGCCTCATGTGAATAACGATAAGTTTCTCCATTTTTTATGAAACCTCTTCTTTATGTTATACAGTATAGACGGCCTTTTTTTTTTTTGCAAACGGAAAGGCAAATACATTGCTTACAAACATCAGAAATACGCACCAGAACAAGACGAACATAAACACTCGAACTCTGATTACGTGGACGTATGCAACACACACACACGCACGCACACACACGCACGAGCAACTGAAATACAAGGATGAAAGGAAAATACTAGGCCTTGCCACTTCAGGCCCCATTTGGTTTGAGGATTAAGTTTCATGAAAAATAAAAAAATGAGTTCCTGAAGATGAATGAACAGTCATTTTCTCTTGCAAACAGACGCTTCATGTGTGTGAACTGTGAAGTGAACCCCGCTTCCCTTCCCTTCAACCTGTTTTTTGCTGTTTTGACGTTTTTTTTTTTGGGGGGGGGGCTATTTTTCTGGTCTCAAAAGGCACCTGATTAAGCCGAACTAATCTAAGTATTGGGCCTTACTAAAGACTGGGACCCAATAGATACTCATGAGCCCATCAACTATAATAGTCGCTCACTCCGTGCTTTTGCTGTGAGCGAAAAAGAAGAGACATTCCATTCTAATTCGTTTGTGTTTCGTTTGATAACACCTGTATAAGAATGGAAACGAAAGATGGTCAGATGTCTATAATGTATAAAAGCATCTATTATTAATTTTTCAATACAAAAAGTGAAATGTTCGACTTCATTTTCTTTTATTAATGGTAAAAAATTATCAATATAATTTCTTTAAAAAATCTTACACCTATCATCTTTTTATTTTTTACGATGTAACTGTCCTGCAGTATAAAACTTTAGAGCACTGATGGATAGGCGGTGGTGGTGAGGCTCTCCCCCTTCAACGAGAATTAGTCTAGATGTTAAAAAACGCGCAATTTTATTGAAAGTTTTAAATTATTATCTACGACGCGCGTTGCGTGCGTGTGAAAATACATCTAGTTAATAAAATGATCTTTTTATAGTACTCAGAAAATATGATTTCGTATAGTCTTATCCTACTATTTATTGAAGAAAAAGACAAAAATAATAATGGGCTTAGAATTGAGGGAGTGATGTTGGGATTCATCTCGATAAATAATTTGGCATCAGGGGGGAAATTATCAAAATGTGGCATCACAAATACTAATATTTAAGTGAGTGGCATACCCACCGCTCTCTTTATACAGCCATGGTTATATTGTTCCGGTGTGCAGCATTAAAAAAATTGAGCGCACATAATTGGAAACGAAACGTCGCTTTGGTGAAGAAAGAAAGGACTGGTCAAAAATGTAGAGTATGAAAAGGGGCTATAATGTTTCAAAAATTAAGCTGCTTAGCTCCCTTCCAATGAAGCCTTCGACGGACATGCATTACATTTTCTTGTCGTTTTCCCCTCTCTTTTTGCCCTTTTTAACGGCATTGTTGTAATGGAATAAATGCACTGCTGATGAATATAATATAACTAAATTGCCACAGGCAAAGGCAAGAAGTCCTGTCATGGGGATGGGGGAAAAAAAGGCAAGAAGTCCTGTGTTATGGCTATGATAGGCTAAAAGCAAGCAGCCAGTCTTGGTTGAAAGTGGGATCCAGATCCTGTCAAAAGCGCCCCCCTCAGCCTCCCTCAACGTTTTAAAATCTCACCCCTTCAATAAATATTTAATATCTCATATTTTATTATATTATCTCATATAAAAATAATTTTATTTTATTCTTTTATTTTCAAAATTTATTCTTAAAAAATTTGTAAAATTTTTAAATAAATTTTTATTAAATAAATAAAGTCAGAATTTGAATAAATCAGACCATAAGTATTTACTTACAATCTAACTTATTCTATAAATTTTTATTAAATAAATCATGCTAGAGCTTAAATAAGTTAAACTGTAAGTACTTGCTAAGAGTCTAATTCATTTTGTAAATTTTTTAAACAAATCAGATTATAAGTATTTGCTCAAAGTCTAGCTTACTTTGGAGATTTTATCCTTCAAATTTTTGTAAAGGATTTTTAGAATAAATTTTAAAAATAAAAAATGAAATTCTTTTTATATGATCCTTTGAAAGTGGTTAGACGCTAATCTATAGTTGTAGAACCCAACTTGGATTAAAGATCTCGGCCACTAAATTCCCCATACGATGTGCTTCGTGCATGGTTTCCTGACCGGGACGAGCACGTCAACAACCCCCACAGTAGCCTGTTACTTTATGGACTAATTATTAGAATCATTTGTTTAATCAGATGCTAAAACAAGATTTAATCAGAATGTGAGTGCAAGTAAAATTTAATCTCTTTTGAAATATATATATATTATATAAGTTAGACTTTAGTTGCGCCCTTGATTTGCATTGCTCATTCTAGCTAATCCAATTTTCCACAATCTAGATCTGCTGACTTTGTTTGATATTTGAACCTTTATAAATATGTTATATAGTTGTTGTCCTCTACTTAATTAAGCAAAGGTCATACAAGTTGCCAAGTTGATGCGTGGCTTGTTTTTGACTGAGCTGGCAACAGAGACTTCCTCAGAAATTAATACCATCACTATATGCGGATATCTCCTTTTGCCATGCATTCGATGCGTTTTAAAGCACGAAACTATGTATAACTTAATTTTTGATAGCCTTTTTTTTTTGGTGATGAACTAATCTTAATTAAATCTGCGACGAGCTTGATTGATGCTGCAAAGTCTCTTCAAGAAGCCATTAATAATTCTTTCGTTTTCAACCATTAATAAATTGATCATTCGTTAATAGCCGTCTATTAGTTTACATGGCTGAAATCAAGAGGCTGATGACAATAAAAGTTAAAACAAAAGTTTGTCAAGAGAATAACATGGCTGATGTCATGGCATATGTTATCCTATGAACCTTGATAGTCTACTGCCACTTTCCATAATGCCTTCATGTACAACCTCTAATAAACAACACTTTAAAAAATTATAAAAATATAAATTATAAAAAATTATTGATTTTGATAATGTTTGTGAGAGTATGAAGAGAGGTAGTAAGAAAAGTCACAGTTGAAAATCAACCACTGTTATCTTGATTCTTTGACAAGAAAGACGACATGTATAATATTTCAAATTTTAATCTTTAAATTATTAAGAAATTAATCAAATTTAATTATGAAAATTGAGTGTTTTGACGTGGTGTATGGCTCTAGAGGTCTCATATATGTAATCAATCATAATTTTAGCCTCAATTAAGGGTTTGAAGTAAAATTGGGCTACTCGGGTATCGAAAGAAGGAGAAAACATGAAGGAAATGTCTCTGTGTCACATGTCGCGACATGCAACACGTCCGCCACAATCACAGATGATAAAAGGATAGAAGGACCTCTCTATGCCATGCAATTTTAAGTCATGATTCTGATGTGAAAAACAGAGAAGAGAAAGAGGGATGGGGGGAGAGATAAAGAGAACGAAGAGGACTTTGCTAGGGCACGATATTGGGACTAATTTGAGTGAGTTTAAAGTTTCAAGCCACCTAATGTAAGTTTCTCAAGTCCTAATCTCCCTCTCTCTTCCATTTTCTTAAAGTTTTTTTGTTAAAGTTTGATAATAAGAGATGGTTTTCGATCTATATAAGTTATGGGTTCAAAACTATTAACTCAAATTGAATTAATGTAAGTTGTATAGAGTATTTAATCCAAGTATTAATGATTTTAAAGGTTGTTACTTGATAAGCACCATAAATATCCAAAAATGGTATTAATGATGTTGTTAGAGGAGTTGCAATGTCATCAATGGAGGTTAAATGACTCATTAATGATATTGAGAGTTAAATATAATTAATAAATATAATAGGTAAGCCTAATGGTAAAAAGTAAGGGTATTGGGTGTTGTGGAAGTGTAACTGTGAGAGTTGAACATGTGAGATTGACATTGTTGATGAAGTTTGGAATTGATTAATTGTGGATAAGCATTTGGATATCATATTTAGCTTGGAAAGCTAGCTTGAAAGCTTAATATTGATAAAAAAATCTTTAACCTCTCAAAGATTTAAGATAATTGAGAGAACCATATTTTGAGTAGTTATTTATTAATTGAGTTTATTTATGAAAATGTGTTAATTACATGTATGATTATCACGTTAAACATGAAAACATGCTCTAGACTTTGTTGACTGAACAAATCGTGAACATACATGATTTTGTGTTGTGACTTAAATTGACGAGTTAAATTCAAATGGATTTTCAAAACTATAATTATATTCACATTTTGGATTGAGAATTGTGATGACTTGTGATGTGATGGTCACATGTGGGACAAGGAATGAGTGAATTAGAGTTTGAGAAAGTATAATGTGGTAAAACACTGATTGATGCTCACTTGGGTAGTACATGATCGTGAACTTAACATGTTGATGTTGAAAATGAAAATTTATGTGAAAGAGTTGGCATCATACAATGTATGATTAGTTGGCGAGAGTTCGTTTAAGGAGAGGAGTAGTTAAAAATCCATATGATATTTTTGGTTGCCTTCCAATACACAAGGGTATAGCCTCATCCCATAATTTGTCGATGGACTAGAACTTAGCTATCTCCACCAGTTTATCAAAAAGAGTAGCTTAGGACAGATGACACTCTAGAGATTCGAGAGTGGGAGAAACCCTTATTCAAGAGTGAGTAATATGATATTTAACCAGGTCACACCTTACAATTGATGAGCTTAGGTAATCTAATCACACAAACAAAGCCTTATTCAATGTTATAACCCATAGTTTCAGTCAAAAAAAAAAGAAGAGTATAAGAATGGTATGATCATGCATATATGTGTTTATATGACGTGTTACATGATTAAGTTATGGCAAGTTGTGTTAATATAACGTGTCATAGTCGCATGTTTGAGTGTCTTATGGCTATATCTTTATTATTAAAATTGAAATGAGCTAATTGAGAAACGAGAAATTGTGATTCATATGTTAATGTGTGTTTTGAGAAAATCTATTCCAAACTTCTGTGTTTGTTTCAATTGATATATACTGTATAGAGTAGACTTACCTTGATTACTAAGTAGCTAGACTCACTTCTCTTCTTTAAAATTTTACTGACTCTAGCTATAGTATAGAAAAGAAGAAAGCTTCGAAGGCTTAGGAATATGGCTAATGTGATGTCTCCATGTTTTTATTTATTTATTTTGTGTAGTAGACTAATATTACCAATTTAGGATGCATTTTATTTACATTTGCACTATAAAGCTATCTACAATATCCGGCTTGTATTTTGGGCCTTGAGTTGTTGCTTATAATAAGTTGTATATGTTAACAGGGCCAAAATATTAATACAAATTCATGAATATTTATTTGATTATGTCAATGAATGTTATTTTGAAAAGCAATGCTAAAACTTCTCCCTTCTATTTTTGATATTAAAGGTGTTGGAGAGTGAAACTTCAATATAGTGGTGAATTTGTATGCGTGGTGTGTTATACAGGTAGTTATAGATTTAACGAATATGATTTAAGTGTTAGAAAAAGGCTTTTGGCACTTGTATAAGGTTTTGGATAATGTTTTAAGAATCAGACTAAATATTGAATCATAAAGGTTAGCGATTCATAGTTTGCATGGTTCAATTGGGTTAGACCAATGGTCAAACCGGTGATGTAATAATTAAATTAAAATATATATATATATAATTTAAATATAAAAAATAAATATAAAATTGCTACTTAACTTAAAAAATAAAATTAAATATTTTAAATTTATCATGACTTAATACATAATACAATATAACATCAAATGATTAAAAAATTTGGTCATTGTCAAAAAAAAAATTTGACACAGAAATAAAAGAAGAGGCATTTTTTGAATAGTCTGATTTTTGAAAATCGGAACCGATCCCTGGCTTGATTTCAATTTCTGGTTCAACTGCTGGTTCAAAGCGACCTAACTCCCCAAATGGTTTTTTTGGTTGACCGAACCTTAGCTTGATGGTTCGATCGGTTCGACCATCCAGTCTGGTCCAGTTTTTAAATTACTGGTTTTTGATACCCTTTTTATTGTAAAAGTTGAGAAAAGTAATAAAAATTGGTTTGGCTGTTCAACTTACTAATGTGACTTAATTTGAAAGTAAAAATTATGCTATTAGCTAGTTTATGAAATGAGCTTTTCGTAGATACTTAAATCATCTCATTTGAACGTCGGACGGAGAAATGGAATGCATCAAAAGTTGCCTGAATTCTGCTATCAATTGATGTCATATGTGTGTAACATGCCGTGGTGCATTGGACAAAGAGTTGTGAGTTGTGGTGCAGAGTACGTAAGATGTGGTGCGTTGTTTTGTTTTCAATATTATGAGATTTTTCAACTATTTTCAACTCCTTTTACTTCTCTGAAATATTCCATGCTTCCGTAACATAATTTTACTCTGATAAAAGGTCAAATATATGTTTTTGAGTTATTTTAAATTATAAAAATTTGAGATCCCATTTTTTCTAAAATTTCAAACTTGGTAATCTCTTTATGGGTTAATTCCTTAATTACCATTGATTATGGATTTATTTGTATTTGTGAGTGAAAGTTATTTCAACACAGTACCAAGATTTATTGATTGGAGAGAAGAACTGTGGACAAGACAAGTAAGAAGGAAGGAAGGGGGGAGGAGGTGCGGCGAGGAGGGAGGGGGGAAAAGGTGCAACGATGATAAGGAAGGGGAGGAGGCATGGTGAGGAAGAAGGCGAGGGAGGCGGGGGAGAGGATAAAGTGGCACCCGAGGTTTGTGCTAAAGGAAGAACAGGTGGTTTTAAAACATATTTTACATCGAGTGTCACATACAATCAATGTAAGAAAGGTATTTTTTTTTTATTTTTTTATATAATGCTTTCTACATTGGGTAACATATATCAGTTTCGAGGACAACTAATGCAAAAAGTTGACAATAATTATAAAAATGCTACCTGCCCTTACTTGTTATATCATTCACCTACCAACTGATGTAAAAAGTGTCATGTAAATGTCTAATGTTATACTAGTGTGTCCTCCATGTTTGGATACAAAATATAATCAATTTTAAATGCCAAAATCCAACTTTCTAAAAAATCTAAATACTCACATTATATGACAAAACCAATATCAAAATTAATTAGAAGTTCAAAATCATGATTTTGTTAAAATCAAGATGTTGAGTTTATAATTGATTTTAATATATAATGCGATGTTTGGATATATTTCTGCAAGCCCATGATTTTATCTAATTTTCAATTCCACTTTTTAATTCTACTTTTAAATTTTGCTTAAAGTCAAATTTATTAATCAATTATAACACATGATATAATCAATTATATTAAAAAATAAAAATCAATCATATCAATCAATTTTTTATATAATTAATTTTGTGTGTTGATATCTAAACAAACCCATCTATTATAGATTTATGCTACTGGTCATTGAAATATTGTCTCAGCCAAATTATATACTTTGAATGAAACAAATAATGTAAATTGAATCTAGTAAAAGGGAGTTTTTACAACATGTTGAAATAATATTTGCATCTTTGTTGAAAGATATATTAACATTAAATACATGGCCATGCAATCAAATTATCATATATTTTCCCAGCAAAAAAAATTATATTTTTATTGAGATAAAGATAGAGAAAACAAAGTCAAAGAATAAAAGTCAAACAACAAAAAGACATATGATGAAGCATAGCCTAAAAACCAGAAACCAAACCCCACTTATAAGATTAAGTAGAGCTGAAAATATGAGTCGAGTTATGTAGGTTGACTCGAATAATCGATCATAAATGTCGGGTTGGGTTGAAAAAAAATTGATTCAAATAAAAACGAGTTTTTTCTAGCCTAGATCATATAACCCAAGAACCATATGGGTTAATCCTAATAGGTTAAGATTGGACCATTTAACTCATATTACTGTTAAATAATTTTAAAAAAGGAGAAAAGGAGAAAATTTTGTGAATATAAACCATATCAGGCATGATTTGCTTAGCTGTATCAATTTATATATTTTGTACAAACATTATAAAATAATATTTTGGTATATTTAGAATGAATTATGAAAAAAATATCAAATTAAAACTTATTATTTAAATGTATTCTAAAAAAACATAAAAAATAAATTTTAAAAAAATTTAAAAAAAATAAGCTGACAGGTTGGCCCGTTTAACTTACCAACCCTCAAGAGTTGGGTTGAGTTGGGATTTTTTTAACTCATATAAAAATAAGTTGAACCCAACTCATATTATATGGGTCAGGTTGATTTATATTTTCACCTCTAGAATCAAGGAAAATAATTGCTGCCTGGTTTGCTAGCAAAATTTCTGCACCATCTACTTGCTGGAATTAGTAGAAAGAAAAATGTCATCACTAGTATTAATGTCGTTGCTGCAAGTGGTGGGGAGCTCGAAAAGCCATACAAAGGCCTCACCCCCTTTTATCGACAAAGAATTAGCAAAAATTAGTTGTCGAGATGCCATCACCAGAGAACTCAGAGAAACAAAAACAAGCACAGACACTATCCCACCAACTAGCTTGATGGAGAAGGATGGAAAGGAGAACCGATGGGTTCATTTTTTTTTTTTAACATCTGGTTCATATTTTAATTATTTATATTATAAAAAATAAAAATTATTACTAAAAGATAGCATTATCTAATCCTACATTTTTGTGGATGACCTTTTCAAGTTAAAACTTGCCAACAAGTTATACACATGAACATATTTCTTCTGTCCTTGATTATAAAACAACTCTAAAGACATTATTGTCTCATGATATGAAATAATTTGATAAAAATAAGGTTTTGTTGATATTATCCTTTAAAGAAAGAGAAAATTAAAATGATTATAATTTAATGATTAAATATTTAAATTTAAAATTATTACACTCATATCAAATTATAAGATAATTTTAAAAGTATTTCATTTTAATTGTCCCAAAATATAAAATAATTTAAATGAAATTTTAATAATGATATTTTTCAATATCATCATTCAAGTGGAGAGAAAATTAAAATAATTACAATACAATGTTTAAGAATATTGATTTAAAGTTATATTGAATAAAAAATATTTTTTAAAAAATTTATATTGTTATTTTAAAAAAGGTAAGTTTGTAAGGTACTATTACTAAGCTTTGTACTGTCTCAAATTATTTTATAATTTAAAATAATGTAAGTATATAGAATGAAGAGTGTCCTTAAAAATGTATATTTTTGTTTTTAAAAAATATGTTTGCAAGGTGTCATTGGTAAATTTTATTAGTATGTATAATACCCCTTCAAATTGTTTTATAATTTGTGAATGATTAATTATTAAAAAACAGAAAATGGTAAATATTTGGGAGTCGGTTAGTATAAAAAAAATATCTCAGAGTTGGTTTTCTTCCTCCACTTTAGATCTAGACTTTTAAATAAGATTTAATAATTTTAAAAATATAAATTTAATTTAAATTTACAGTAGAAGAAGAAGACATAATAAAGAAAAACATCCCAAATATTTGTGAGTCTGGATAAAGATGGAAAATCGTCGCATTGAGAGCAGAGACTAGAGGGAGAACGGACAAGAATTGGGGAGCAAGGCAAGTGACAAAAGTCAAAACTCAACGAGGGTGGGTAGGTCCAGGAAGGTTCTGAATTTCTCATCTCTCAATTCCCACCCGAATCACTGCGCTCACCCCATCTTTCTCGACTACATATATACCCTCTTCCACTCTCATTTCCTTGCGTCATCTCTTTGTCTCAACCCCCCCCCCCTTCTCTCTCTACTCCCTCCCTCCCTCCCTCCAACCCTCTCTCGTACACATCGATAGCGTGCCTTTGTCTGCTAGATTCACCTCAAGCTGTGGATTAATCATGTGCGGTGGTGCTATCATCGCCGACTTCATCCCCCGCCACCGTGGGCGCCGCCTTACCGCCTCTGACATCTGGCCCAACTCTTTCGGTAAGCCAAATGATGACTCCGACTTCGACTTCCATTTTCCTCAAGCCGATCACTCCGACTCCCGCAAATCATCCCATCCTTCCCCAGGTCATTGCTCTTTTCTCGCCCCTCTCTTCATCTTCTCTTCTCTTGTCTCGTTGTTGATCTAATCGTGCTTTTTCTGTAAGGAACAGCTGATCAGCAAGCCGAGAAGCCCGTTAAGAGGCAGAGGAAGAATCTCTACCGAGGGATTCGACAGCGTCCCTGGGGCAAATGGGCTGCGGAGATTCGCGACCCCAGGAAGGGGGTTCGTGTTTGGCTCGGTACCTTCAACACTGCTGAAGAAGCCGCCAGGGCCTATGACAGAGAAGCTAGGAAGATCCGCGGCAAGAAAGCCAAAGTTAATTTTCCCAATGAAGACGATGCCTACTCCCTCCCGGCTTGTCATCCACCGCCTCCGCTCCGATCCCCAATCTCTCCCCTGTATCCACAACAATACGGCTCTAACCCAAACAATGTGCCCAAGAGTTTCAATTTGGAGTTTGGCTATGATCTGAACCAGGCGGGCACAATTCCTTCCCTCGGTTTCGACACCGATCCACCCCTTGTTTCCGGAGACGAACATTCGGGATGCGGGTCGGGCTCTGGTTCCGAGGGTGCCTACTCCACGATGCAGTTGCTGGACGCAAATAAGAACGCAAACGGCTATTCTTCTCAGTGTTCAAATGTGGACGTAGAAGGAAAAGGGAACAAGGCGGTGATGGAAGCCGAAGAGAAGAACGAGATACAGAAGCTGTCGGAGGAGCTGATGGCGTACGAGAACTACATGAAGTTTTATCAGATTCCATATTATGACGGGCAATCGACGGCGTCTAATAATGTCCAGGAAAACGTGGTGGGCGATCTTTGGAGCTTTGACGACGAGGCCGTCCCCGACCCGGTGACCTCATCGGCCCCGTGATGGCTCGCGGTTGCCGGGCAGGGCGGAGAAACCGGAATGAGCGACAGAACTGGCGATTTAAGTTTGAAGCTTTCGAGTTGAATTGTAATGATTTTCCGATACAGTGTTTGGATTTTGATTACATTTTGTTTTGTATAATTTTCTTGGGTGTAATTAAATTAAATTCATTCAATTAGTTGATTGCAGCGTCCAGACAGGGGAAGCATAGGAATTTGGGGTTGTAACGAATGAGGACGAAATTTGGAGCTACGAGAGAGACTAATTTTGAGGTGAAGATGGTGGAAAGGGGCGCAAGGATTTGAAAAGGCTTCTCATCACTTGTTAGTGAAAAATACTGTAAATCAAATTAGATTTGATAATTTAATTTTAATATTTTAAAACTATAAATTAATGTAAGTTCATCCAAAAAAAAAAAAAGGCTCAGATTTATAACATGGAGAAATCAAAGTTGGGAATAATTACCCCACACAAGTCCAAATAATGGTTGATCCTCAAATGTATCCCTATCAAGTCGGTTTTAGTGGTCGTGGTCAACATCTTAGAGAATTGTTTATTGGAAAAGTAAAAAAGGGTTGAGTGGGGGTGATTGGTGAAGGAATAGGGAGGGAACAATTGAAGGATTGAGATGAAATGGGGAGGAAAGGCGAACGGGCGAAAGCAGTGGGGGCTGCTGGTTTTGGGTGACGCGGCGCCAGTGGGCGCCTCCGGATTTAGGCTGAGATTAAATTATTCGTGCGAGATGCGGCGTGATGGCCCACGTTGCACTTGTACTGCCATGCTATTATTCCCACGCTCCCTCCTTCAACATGCGCTTCCATTTTGACACTTCAATTTTTATCACTTTATTCTTCTGTTGTTTGGCTTGCACAGAGGGTACATAAAAAATAATAATAATAATAGAAATAAAAGTAGTTTTTTTAAAATTTTTAATCGTTTTCCTAATATTATTATTTTATTTTTATTGTCTCTTTTTCAAGATAAAATGCTGGCTGTGTATAAGGCCACCATTTATAACATTCTTTTATGTACTATCATTGAATAATAGTTCCCTTTTAGATTTTACAATATTTTCATGATATTTACTTATAAAAGTAATTTATTATTTAATTATTTTAAAATTTTATAATATTTTATGTGTGTGTATGTATTTCTATGGCATTCTTTCTCATCCATCATGTTATACTATAAAATTTCATGAAATACTTTTTTTTTTGAAAAATAAGTGATTTTTTCAAGAAAAAAAATTAAACAAACGGATCACAAATAATAATAACCTTTTTTTGATTCCACTGTTTGGTATTATAAGAGTATTACCACCTCCAATTCAGACTAATTAGGCCCCTCACTCCATTAAATCATTATTACTAATGGTGGTCTCATGGATACTTTAAAATCTTGAATAAATTGATTTAACTTCTTGACCAAGTAAAAAAATTACCCTCAATTAATAATAATTTTTTATTATGACAAGACAAATATAATATAATATATACCTTTTATACAATCTTTACAAAATAAATTTATTTTTATCAGTGATTTTTCATTAAAAAAACCTAAACAAATCACCCTGTTATGATAAAGCGTATCTCAATTGTACGCCAGGGTTCTCGTTCTATTCAACAATTTTAAATGCCCTAAAAAAAGTAAAATTTATGTATTTAAATTAATATACTTATACTTAATTAAATAATGACAAATGGATCTTAACACATTAATTAAATTGATAAAAAATTTATTATAAGATAAATAATCTACAAAAAGTCATGCCTTGATTTTTAGATAGTTTATACTCTTGTAAAAAAAAATATTTTATAAAAATTTTATAAAAAGAAAACATTATTTTATAATTGGTTGTAAGTATAATTGGTTGTAAGTAAAAATATTCATTAGTTAGTTATTTTAAAATTTTATAGTATCTTCCAAGGTTTTTAAAGAATGATTTATTTTAAAATTTTATGATATATCATTACATCTCTGCATTTTTGTAACATTTTCTCTTGCCTTATGCATCATTTTCAAAAGCTTTTTATAATAATTTCTCAAAATTATTAGAAATATACCGTTTTTAAGCTCTAATTATTTTAAAAAGTTTAAGCACAAAATTTTTTAAAATTAATAAAATAAGTGATTTTTTATATAATTCAGATATTTTATAAAAAGAGATTTATTTTGTATAAATTTTTTAAAAAGAAAATGTTATTTCATGTTTAGTTATAATGATAAAAAATATTATTAGTTAATTATTTTTAGATTTTATAGCATTTTCAATTATATATGTTTCATAAAAATAACTTATTATTTAACTATATAAAAATTTTATGATATTTTCATGTATTTTCACATTTTTATGAGATTCTCTCCCATACACCAACCACTACATTATATTATTTTAAAACTAATCATTGATTCAAGGCTCATTATTTTAGTTGATTTTATGAAAAAATTACTTTTTTTTAAAAAAAATAAAAAATCTACTTTATGAGTTTTTATTATGTTTGCTTAAAATTTTAAAAATAATTAAAATCTAAAAGTATAGATTTCTAATTATTTTAAGAAGCTAAGTAGCTTCTTAAAATAATCTAATGCAGAGAAGACAAAGAGTGTTTCAAAGACAGAGCATGCAAAGATATAATAAAATTTTAAGATAATATAATAATAAATTATTTTTATAAAATTAAAAATTAAAAAAGACATCATGAAATATAAAATAATTAATTAATAGTCACTTTTTTTATTATTGTAACCGAATGTAAATAATGCCTTTTTTTTGTGTAAAATCTCTACAAAAGACATCTTTTTTTAATAAAATTTTTAAAATATCTAAAAATTATTTATTTTTCATCTCAAACAAATCATCTATACGAATGTTTCTAAAAATAATTAGAATTAATTTTTTTTCACATTTTGATTATTTTAAAAAAATACCATAAAATCTCACAAAATATTTTTTTTAAAAAAGTGATTTTTTATGAAAAAAAAAACTGAAACAGGCGGCCTGAGTAATAAACAATCGTACACTACTCATTTACTTCCAGCACAATTTCCGTCGTCTTTTATTAAATAGAAAACTCCTATCTCCTAAACAGTCACTTGATTTTCAAACATTGTTTTATTGATCGATAATTTATTTTACTATACACACACATATATAAAGTTCGAACTCGTATAAACAATAAAATAGCTGCTGCCTGCTAGCTTGCTTTTGAGACGAGTGAATGAAAAGTAAAGGGTTAAAAGACATATTTATCTTATAACTTTTACTCCATAACAGCTGGTATCTTAAACTTTTTTTTAAGTATAATGTTGTCTTAAAACTTTGAAAAATAGTGCATTGTCGCCACATCATTAAATATAAAAACATTGACTGTTACACACCAATAAAATCTCACATGGCAACTTATATGGGCTGATTGGTGTTCATGTGGACCAAGACTTCTACAGGGATCTCATGGTCTTCATTGTTCTTCACTACTCCGCAAGAAGGCGCCCCTTCCGATCAACGCTGGCAAATCATGACAGCCAAGGGATCTCATCGTCTTCAATGTTCTTCCTTTCGTTTCCCTCAAATCTAGCTTAGGTGTTTTCTGGTTCTAGCCTTGCCACTCCCCTCTTGTATTTTCTGCCGAGTTATTTTTATATGCTTCATGTGTCCTTGCCTTACTTTTTTTTTTTTTTTTAACAATTGAGATCAAGGGCAATAGCTTACAAGAAAGAAATCTAAGAAAGAGCCTCCTTATCATCATCCACCACGTTCAAACAAAAAGGTGACGGCTGATAAAAAGATTAAAACTCACCTGCTCTACCTAAAGCAAACTTAACCAAAAAATGAGCATAATAATTGGCTTCCCTAAACATAAAGTTTACCAAAATATCATATTCTCTGTAAAGAAGGGATTGGGCTTAATTAATAATATCCACAAATAGGTGACAATCTTAATTAGATTTGAGGAAGAGGTTTATTACATCTACGAAATTTGTAAATACTTTGACCTTCCATAGCCCCATATCCCAACATAATTGAAGACAGCAAATAATTCCCAATAATTTAGTCACGGCAACAGGGTAGTTACTAACACAAACAATAAAATCACCCACCCAATTAGCATTTCAATCTCGAATTACACTACCACATTTGCTTAAACCATTTGTCACTAAGCTATCTATATCTAGTCTCGTATAGTCAAGCTTAGGCCTTATATAATGATCATTTGTGAAACCTGCCCGCTCAAGTTGCAAGTCATGCTTCGCTTTATGTAGTGTTGCAATTCCATCCCCTAAACTTTCCACGTCCTCACTAGAGAAAGTCTTTTTACATCTACCATACCATATGTCCTAACATATGTATCTAAAAAGAATATTCCAGGGTACCTATTTTGTGAAGCTTTTTCCAACATTTTTATGAAGGTTTTAAGGGATCCATCCTGTCTAACTTGCAATCACCATTTCAAACCTCGATCCTATCAATTCTCTCTAGATGAAATCATCTTCTTAGACCCTAAACCTAGTTAGATTTCTAGGTTTGTGTTTGATTGTCAACAGCTCTTAACGGGGGATCTAATCGTATTCATATCTCTACCGACGACACCCATTCTAGTCTTTTCCTTACTGGTTGGGGTTTTCATTAGATCTGGATCTTGATTTGTTATTGAGGATCAAAGATTTCTAATGTTGCAAAAGGAGATATCTTGAAGTTCGAGCTCTTCTACTATTTAATGGTGGACAAAGAAGCTCGACTCAAAGAGGAGTCACCAAGTAATTAGCTAGCTAGCTAACTATCATGTCTTTATCTGCATTCTTTAATTCTCACCACAAGGATTAATTGTCGACTTGTTTTTGTAATTTAAACTAGAGACAGGAGGGATTTCTTTGACCCACATTGAATTAGGGAACGAAGAATTGTGTATTCAAGAACTACAATGATGTACTCAATGGAGGAGGAGGTGGAAGAAAAATTTGAACCTTAAGCACAAAGATTGAAGGCAAAAGATCCTAAATTTCATAATCACATGCTCTGAGCATTGACTTCTTAGTAATCTAGAAAAATTTATGTTAATGGAATTTAAGCTTTTATAACAAGTTAATTGATTGAACCTTGAAGTAAAATTCTTTTAGTTGTATACCAAACAAGAAAGATTGTAGTTTGCAATGAAAAATTCGAACAAGGGAGGGAGAGAGATGAGGCTCAAAAGTGTCATCATAAACAACAACCCTAATGCTGTTGGTGCAAGCGATGCTGGGCATGAGATCCTTGACAATGATGCTCTTCTTGTATTAATGAGGTCACACTAAAAGGTGAGCGGAGGACATGCAATCAAGCAGAGAGCATGGATATTTGGGCTGACATTGGTAAAAAAAGGGAAGGATGAAGGGAGATTGGTGATGGAGAGGTCTGCAAGATTTTATTTCAACGTGTGAGTCCAAATCAACTTTTCTAACTGTCCACACCAGCGTGTACTAGTCAAATTTAATGAAGTTTCACAAAAAAAATTATACTCTCTTGTTTTGTTTTGTTTTGTTTTGTTTTTTGGCATGTTTGTTTTTCTTGTTGAACCGTGAGCTTGTACAAAATGACTTTCCTAAAAGAGGCTTTGGGCCTAATCGAGATCCAAATATATTGGGCTATCTTTTCAACGAGCCCATGATCCCCTGATGTTTTGAGAGGATCGATAAAGGCCCAGAACGACTTCTGAGCACCTAGGGTTAACATTAGAAAGGGGTGATATATAGTTCCTGGCGTCGAAAGCTTCTCCTTCGACTGCTGCTGCCAGGGAGAAGGGAGGGTGAGAGGAACATGGTCTCGCTGAAACTCCAGAAGCGGCTCGCCGCTAGTGTCCTCAAGTGCGGCAGAGGCAAAGTCTGGCTTGACCCAAATGAAGTCAACGAAATATCCATGGCCAATTCTCGTACGATCTTCCCTTCCATCTTTGTCTCCCTGTCTGTTTTCTATGCTGTCACGTTTGAACATTTTGATTGTCGAGGTCCATGTCTTTCGAGGGCTGAGAACGGGCAATGACATCTCGAGTTTTGACAGTATTTTTTGTTGATCCATATAGCATCTTTTTAATTGGTGTTCCTGTTCTTGCAATTGTGAATTAACATGCTTCGTTCACTTCATGCTTCTCGTTCTTCAGCTTTATATAGTTCTCATCTTGGTTCCCTTTTCAGCGAAATATACATTTCTTCCACTCTATTTGAGTTTCTGCTATTTGTGTTATAGTGTGGTTGGTTATATACCTTCCTTTTATTTTAAGTTGTCTGGAGCCCTAATGTCCTATTAAGCGGGGTCTGTTGATGGTTGTTATGTTGTTATTTGTGGCACAAGGCTGGTCTTGTGGTATTGTGTATCCCTGTATCCGAAAATTTTTGCAGGCTCTTTGACGTAATGACTTTTCATTTGCAGGCCAAAACATAAGGAAGTTGGTCAAGGATGGTTTCATTATCCGGAAGCCAACCAAGATTCACTCCCGTTCACGTGCGCGTAGGATGAAGGAGGCCAAGAGGAAGGGACGTCACTCTGGATACGGTATTTATTCCTCCCGTTATTGGCCTTCCCTTATGGTGATATTCTCAAGTTAATAGAATTCTAGGACACAATTTGTTATGTCATGTTCAAAGACATATTCATCCTTCATAATGATTTAAAAATAGCGAGATTACTGCTTACCAGTTCATGCAATCAGGACTTTTCATAGAGGATTATGTGGCAGACTTCTGAAAATCATTCCTAGACGGGCATCTTTTTGGTTATGCTAAGAAGCTATTTTATTTTTCAAGGAAAAATAGTAATATAATGGTTTTGTCTATGGGCCAATGTGGGAAGCGTGCTTTACGAATTGTAATGTTTACCTGAATGACACTAGGTAAGCGTAAGGGTACCAGAGAGGCACGACTCCCTACAAAAGTTCTTTGGATGAGAAGAATGCGTGTGCTCAGGCGCTTGCTTCGCAAGTACAGGGAATCAAAGAAAATTGACAAGCATATGTATCATGACATGTACATGAAAGTTAAGGGTAATGTGTTCAAGAATAAAAGAGTCCTGATGGAGAGCATTCACAAATCCAAGGCTGAGAAGGCAAGAGAGAAGACCTTGAGTGATCAGTTTGAGGCTAAGCGTGCAAAGAACAAGGCAAGCCGTGAAAGGAAAATTGCAAGGAGGGAGGAGCGATTGGCTCATGTGAGTTTTTGCTTTTAGTTGAAAAAACTCTCTCTGGAATATGTTTGACTCAAGTGTACATTCGGATCTTGATATTCTTACCTTTAACAATGCACCCGGGAAAATTATGGATGCCTACTTTTATATATTATTGTGGTTGATGCGGTTGCTTTTGGAATTGAACTTTTCCTTTCTTCTCTGTTAATGTCTTTAGGGTCCTGGAGACAAACCTGCTGCGGCACCGACCGCACCATCTGCGAGAGCATCACAACCAGCCCAGTGAGTATTATAGGCCTCGCTTTGTCTGCTATGATTGCTTTGGACTATTCGTTTTCTGAAATATCTTATTGAATATGATGCATTTTGTGCAGATCATCAAAAAAATCCAAGTGATGGGGCACAAGCAGGCATACCTAATGTAGTTTTGACCAATCTCCTTTGTTCGACTAGACATTTCTTATTTTTATTTCAAGTACGAGAGGTTAAAATATTCTTGCACTGTTTGATTTATAGTTTGTTTGATGGCGTTTTTTTATATGAAATTGCAGCATGCCAGCTTTGTTTTCTAGGCCTTTTAATCATTGTGACGCAGTTTATCACACCCGTAACATTCCTATCCGTAACCTATCAGATGCGATGAGAATGTGGATTTATAAGTTTTATTTATGTAATGTCTTTGGATCCATTTTTTGGTGGATTAGCCCTCAGTTTATTGAAGAAAAAACACCAAACGTTTATTATAAATCAGTTAGTTATCTCATGTTTGGCAAAGGTGGTTGACCCTCTTTGCTTGCTGCCGCCAGTGATTAATATGTTAGTTACCCGACCAAACAGACCCTCAAGGAAGGAGAAAGTTGAGCTAGTTATTATATGTTCCTCGCAGTTCTAGTTTCGATTCAATTTCTTCCCAAAAACATTTGAATCTAATTCGGTGCGCTTCCAAGTTTCGATTTTCTTACCAAACACCTTTGAATCAAATCTAAGCAGAGGATGGAAGATTTGCCCAGAAAGCAAGAATACTGGAACAAACGTTTGGTTTGATATTTTAACCTCATTGTCTTGCGGTTATCTTCAGGTTGTTCTTTTAGCTTTTGTACAATTTGGTGAAATAATATATTGATGATTTTTATTTTGAAATTGTGACGTGCCCATGGAAAAATAATTGTTAAGACTAAATCTCGGAGCCTTTAATTGGGTATATATGATATCGTAACCTTGATCTGTAAATACAATGCAAGCTGCTAGATGTCCTATCAGATGGGGACAATTTTGGCCAAATATGGCGAAGAAAATCTTGGAGAAGTCTCCTGATTCAACGCTGCTATCCTTCGTTTTGAAGATTTGTTTGATAGCGTCGATTGGGAAGAGGGAGCTCATCATGTTTGACAAAGGTTTTATAGCCGGTGGGGTGTTCTGATGCATCCGGATTCCCGCAAATCCCTAGCTTCACTGTGAATGTATTTGTCGTCCCTTTCCCTATGCCTTCACTCTCAACCCACATGTCACCTTCCATGAGTTGTACGAATCTGATTCATTATCCACAATGCGAGTAAGGACCTTTACAAATCTGAATCAGTTTTAAGCAAATAGCTACCCTTTAAGATTGCTGTACTCAATTGCCGAGGTCGACATCATTTATGTATAATTGAGCTTGTTGCACACTTAAAAAGTTTTAAAAGCTAGGATTCTGCCTCTACCTTTTGCAAATAGCTAGTCCGAGCCCCGCACCACCGCTAGTTCGAGCCGGTCCTCTCTGAGACTCAGCAAATTTGGTAAAAATATGAGCAATATCTTGTGGGGCAATGCCGCATCCAGAATCTTTAACCTGCATAAACAGGGATACTAGGGTCGATATATTATAGTGCAGCAACTCTTTTAAGTTACAATCGCTATGTTGACAGTAACATAATCTGGTGTCTTGTTCATAGAATCATGGGTATTTGGGCATGGATGCCAAGAACGATTTTTTTATATGAAATCAAATAGAACAACCCTATAGACATTGGGTATCTGAACTACTAATATCTGATATGACATGCATGGAGATGCTTCACAATCTCGCAGAAATACTAAGATAACCAGGGCATGACCTGTATTGTAATGCAGTGATGACCATCACTCGACGCTGTACAAATTTCTGGAGGTCGCCAATCCTGTAAAACTTTTGCTTTTGCAACAGATGCTCTCACAGAAACATAACCCTCCCTAGTGAATTTCACAGCATTACCCACAACGTTTAAGAGAGTTTGCGTTAGACGTTTCTCATCTCCAATGGCAAAGATAGGCAGATCGGGGTCCAGAGTTAAAGTCACAAGTAGCTTCTTCACAGATGCTATAGGTTTTATCAAGTCAAGAACCTGCAGATTTAAAGGTAAAATAGCATAATGACCTGGAGTGCATTTCTCAGTGAAGAATAAGTTGCTGCTTACTATTTTTACGAAACGCTGAAACAGAAAATAAATCTCCATTACCTCCGCCAGAACCCTGTGAAGGTTGAATTTTCCCAATTCTAATTGAAGGCTGCCATCTTCTAGTCTAGAAAGATCTATAACATCGCTAATAAGTGCTGCCAACACGTTGCTATTCTTCAATGTTGCCTCTATCACGATCCTCTGCTCTGGAGTCAGTTCAGTCTCCAAGAGAAGTGAGGACAATGCCATAATAGCGTGCGCTGGTGTCCTCATCTCATGATTCATGACAGCAAGGAAATCACTGCGAGCATGGACCGCCACCTCTGCTTCTCGTCGTGCCAAATCTAAATGAACATTCTGTTCCATCAGTTGATCCCGGGCCTTCATTGACTCCTCCAATATAGCAGCATGTGAAAGAGCTACCGCCACCTGTTTTCATACTTGAAAATTTCAGACAGATAGGATACCCACTTCGACTAAGAACTTCTGAGTTTCACTGAATTGATCTAGGGACATGCAATGAAGTAATGTAACTGGGAAGAAATAAGAGTATGCAGCATTATAAAGATGGAAATAAGAGAGAGAAGATATTAAAAGGACCTGGTCTGCCACTACATCAACAAGTTCCAATTCATAATCTCGCCATTTCCTACCACTGTCAGCAGGGAGGATCAGAACCATGATTGCATATCTCTTTGCAGAAAGATCTGGCCAATTATTAATTGGAAAATCTGAGAGATGCAAGAGAGGCACTCTCACAGCAACCACCTCAGGTGGCATGTGTCTTTCAACAAGAGGTTTAATAGTGATCAGGGGACAGGTATGTGGAATTCTCATTGCTTGAGGACTATTAAAAACTTGATTAACAGCAGGAAGGTTTGTTGGGACGCAGGAGCTAACTTGTGCACCGCTTAATGTGTGTGAAAGTTGAAGATGTAGACCACATCTTGAAGGCATCCACAGTGCACAGTCCTCCAAGCCCAAAGTTCTACCCAGCTCAACAAGAGTAGTCTTGAGAATGGTTTGCCTATCAAGTGTGCTTCTAATCTCATGAGTCAACATTCTGACATGCCTCCCAGTTTCTTCTTGAGTAAGAATAAGCCCCATTTCTCTGTCAAGCTCTTCGGCCTTGTTCTTGAGAAAACGTTCACGAGTTTTGACGCTCATCAGATCAGGGATGATGTGAACAAGCATTAGTGCAGTAGCGCAGGATATGATAGCACACAAGGCTTTAGCTATCGCCATCACGACAGCAATACCTTTCGAGTGCATGAAGAATGTCCACAGGCTTGCGAAGTGAGATGCTCCGCAAAGAACAATGAAAGCACCGAACTGGATAAGAACCCATCTATATGGGAAGAATGCAGACTTCTGAACAAAATATATCAGCTCCAAAGGAATGGAGAAATACGCAAGCGCTATCAGAATATCCGACATGTACTGACATTTCTTGAGAAGTTCATCTAGGGGCCAGTACTGTGGCTCAACGCAATCGCAGGACTCCATATTCTAGCAGCCTTCTCAACGAATATCTGACAACACCGTTCCACACATTATTATTATCCGAAATCATCACAAAATACAGGGTCTATCAGAGTTCAGAACCAGGATATTATACCAAATATGATCTAAGTGTCAAAAACCACACTTCTTCACAGAGTTATTTTTAATTTAAGCAAATTTATCCGACAACCGCCCAAGCGCATGCATGTGAACGTCATCTACTATTGGCCCAAAACTCCCAGATAAATGTTTTCAACCAGCAATGCAATCATGTATGTCAAAAAGACTTAACCGTGTGCGCGTGTATCTATATATAAGCAAAAAACGGGAAAAACAAAAAAATTATTCTTACCGAGTCAAAGAAATAGGGGGTCAGACACTCAAACTAGTTGCAGCGTAGCTTTAGTACGATTAGAGCTTACATGGAGAAAACAACTGTCATGACCTGGACGAGAAGGAACTGTAGCAGATGAAGAAGTAGAAGAGAGAGAAGGACGAGTGAAATGCAGGGGCAAGGCCAGAGCCCAGAAGCGTCATGGACAAGCAAGGCTACCGACAGTTTTTCGGTTTATGCTTTTCTCCGACTCCAATGTCGCTTCAGTCCGACAAAATTTTCAGATTGATTGGTGCTCATAAATATGATAATAGAGCTGAGCGTGTGAACGAAACTTCATTTTTTAAACTAAATTGTTTAGAAAAATACGGGTTGTTTTATCTGCTCTCACACGTGCGGATGGAAGGGAGAAAAAAATTTATATTCACGTCATTAACAAATTTTAGAAAGTTGTACTAATGCAATTTACTTTTTAAGTTTCAAACAATGTATAGGTCACTCACAAAAACTATGACCATGGATGTGGCACCATTCGAACAAACACGAACGAGGCTAATGGATGTATCTGTTATTATTCTTAATTTGTATTGCCTTCCTTTTAGAAGAAACTTGATTGTTTGATTCTTTCGTTATTAAAATAGATCAAACTAAGTAACAAAATAAACAAGATTAGTTCAAATTCTAATATCTGAATAATTTGAGACAAATAGGATCAGATACAGACGAAAAATCGTTTGGTAATTAGTAGAGAACAATTCAAGTCGATGCCCATTGCCAAGATGAGCCGAATTAATATTGAAAGAGAAGATTCATGGCCTCATTCTCTTGATCACAATGTCGAGCCATGTTCAATGGATTTGGATGATGTTTATCGGGTAGATATAACATCGCCATCTATTGAAAAAATTTAATATTTTCACCAAATTTCAAGCACAATTATTTTTGGACAAATAAACTAGATGTCATGTGGGGATAAAAAAGTAAACGAAATTATAAGGGTTTAGCATGTAAACGAAAAAACTTAATCCCAAAGTTTGAATGATCAACAAAAATAAATAAAAAAGATTGTCAACAAACACGAACACGAATAAAAATCGTTGGGCTGGACCCAAAAGCTGGTTTGACTAGTCAATTTGGTTTTCTGTTAATCTCGCTATAAAACGGCGTTCCAAAATTAATTAATTCTCTTTACCTTTTCAAAAGCTATCAAAACATTCCAAAAGTACAATTAACTAGCATCAGGGTGATGACTTTGGATTTAAATTTTATATTTAAAACTCATATATTTAAAATCATTCGTTTCTGTAGGTGAAAAAAATTTCAAACAAAAAAGATAAATGAATTGATATTTGAAAAAAAATAAAAAATTAGAAATGATTAGTCTGTCTTCATTTTTTAATTGACAAGAGATATGAGAAAATATATAAGAGTCATAGAAGTATAAATAATAAAAATAAGAAGTTTAATATGGTTGAAATTTTAAATGATTAGGATGTTGAGTGAATTCGAAATTATAAATGAACTCTAATAAAAATGAATTTAAATTTGAATCCAATCCAAATTTATAAAATTTTGTATATCCAAATGAGAGCTTGAATTAAGTTTAAATTCAAATCTTCATTAATCCAAATACACCATTAATAAAAAATTATTAGCCTTTAACCAGCATGCATTGGTCTAATGCTATATTTGGCAGGAGAGAAAAGTGAAAGAAAATAATATTTCTTTCTGTTTGGCTAGAGAGAGAAAAGTATGAAGAAAATAACATATAAGACCAAAATATTCTACCTTCAATTTTTCTCTCAAAATGTGGAGAGATTTTAGAGAGAAAATTCTATTTTTAAATTTACCCACCAATTTTTAAATTTTATATTTATAGTATAATTACATTTTGATCATGAACTTTTGTTAAACAAACAATATATTTAATTTTTAGATTAACTAGACAGATTTTAATCATAATTTTTTAATTAAGTTTCTCATATTTAGTTGCAGTTTCAAAATTTTAGGATTATTATATATTTAATAATTTAATAAATAAAAGTATAAATTGGATAAAATGTTTTTGGTCAATAGTGGATAAAATAATTTGTAATTATGTTTTGTACATGATAGAAATTATATATATAATATGTTAAAATATTAAATTTTAATATATTTATATATATAAATATTTTTATAAATAATAAAGTTATTATTTTCTATATAAAATTAATAAACTTTTTCTCTTTCTTATTTTCTCTTGTTTAGCCAAGCACAATAGTAGAAAATTACATCCTTCTATTTTTCTCTTCTCTACCCTTTTCTCTCCTTCATATTTTCCCTTGCTAGCCAAGCATAGCATAAGTGAAATGAATAAGGGAGAATCACATTTAAAAATTACTCAAGTAAATTATTCACACAAAAAAACTGGCAATGAGTTTCATTCTTAAGAAACAAGTATATATTCTTATTTTAATAGAAATCTATTTTGTATTAGTTCTTATCTGCGAATAATTTATTTGAGTAATTTTTAGATATGATTCTCCTAATGAATTATGATAGTTGACAACTTAAGAACAAGGTCTTAGAATATAAGTTTGCATGAATGCAAAAAATATTCTTGAGAGAGACATCTCCAATTGTACTCAACAATATTTAAATATAACTTGATCATACAATATGTTAAAAAAAAAGAAAATATTAAAGAAGGACCACTAAAATTATTTAATATTATTCAAAAACTTGGACGGATAAGATACTTGTCAAAACTTAAACTTCACTCATTAATTATTAATGTTTAATTATTAGAAATCCTTTTTTTGATATTAAATTATCTCTCATGTGATATTTCCCCCCAAAAAGGGTTATTAACATTTGTCATTGTCAGGATACAAGGCTCCTTTGGAATGGGCAAAAAAGAAGCATGGTCCGGGATGAAGCAAATGGGCCGAAAGGCACATAAAAAGGGTTGGAAGAGCATAGCCTATGATAGTGAATTTCTGATGTTTTCCCCCTCGTCGCTATTCGTGTGATTAAATGAAAACTAATCTGAATTTATATTTACAAATTATTGCTGAGAGTGAGTTTTAGTTTATATATAAATATCATATCATTTTTGGTTGTGAATTTCAGTGTATTGCCGAGGGTGAGTTTTAGTTTATAATATTATAATATCAATTACTATCTCATTTCAATAAATTGGGGATTCCTTTTTTTTTTTATTATTATTATAAAAAAAGTCAGGGTTGATATTCCTCAATATATGAATTGAGAGTCAATTGCATGAAGGTGTTTTTGAAAATATATTGTAAGCGCTTCACTAAACTTTGCAAATAGTCTCATGTTATGGATTATGAAAAGATTTTAGAAGGAGCCTTGTATTGTAAATCAAAGCTAGTATTAAATGTAGGCCTTCATTGTAATTGAGTGACAATTTTTTGCCAGCAATTAAGTAACAATAATCTGGATGAAAGAATAAACTATTACAAATAAATATAGTAATATAGCCGATCCATGGCTGTGCTCTGAAGCTACACTTCAATATTAACATTAATATTGATGAAGCTAGGTCTGAACAGGAGAATGATAAGATAACCATGCCGGTTTCATCTATTTTTTTCTCAATGTAGGCCAATACTAGCTACCGAATGCTAAATGCTCGATATAGTCATGCAAAGTTGAGGTGTCAAATTCAACTCAGATTCTTCAAAGGAATTCTGATGTCGACAATTCCAGATGAGTAGGAAAAGGGAAAATGGTTCGTCCAAAATCTCCAATAAAAAAAATACGAAGCACTGAATCAGATACATAAGCTATAATATTGGCTTTGCGGCGCCTCTTGTTTTAACTACACATTATTGTACTGTGACTTCAAGGTTTTTCTTTTTCTAATTTTATGTGAGGTGCACAGAAAGCTGCCGTGCAATACCACTTTTACAATACTCAGCTTTCGGTCCTTTTGTTTTTTGTTTTTGTTTTTCAATATAAGGTTATTTTATGTGAGCAAAAAGTCCTTACACTTGAGAGGAGGGTCGTTGAGAATCATGACATCCGAATTATCGTGATATGCTTGAAGACGTGATCAAGGGTAACAATCAAATCCCACGTTAACATATCTAATCTCTTTGATAGAGCTGAAAAAAAGGTGGTATCGAGAGCGTTTATTTTGAATGAGGTTAAGAGTCTCAATTGAATCACAATATATAAATGCCAATTCCAGAATATTCACTGTCCTAGCAAAGATTAGGGCCTTAAAAAATGGGGGTTCAGCTGCAGTGTTAGGACACCCAGTGTTCATTTTGAACGAAGCTATATATATGTGTGTGTGTGTGTGGGGTAAGTCCCTTGCACCAAAATAGGTGCATGCTCTTGCCGGTCGTGTCTAAAAACGATGGCGTAAATCCCCTGAAGCTTTGCACTGTGATGCAGTAACAGTGTTTTGAATAGGAGTCTTTTTCATTGGTTATTCGGTACTGATCCTGTTTCACCTCTCTGTTCCTTTAAATTCATCAGATGATCATTACTATCGCTATGATTGAACGTAACGTGTCAAGTCTAGCAGCCATATAATTGGGGTTGGGTGGTATAAATCAAAATCTCGGCGGGGCATGGTTCTACAATAATTTGCAGTGTATTTTTTTCAACGTTCATGGGATTGTATAATAAGGCGGCGTACGCACCTCTCGAAATGAAAGTATTTGATGAAATCAGAAAACAAATAGCATATATTCAATATGGTATGAATACCTTTTACTGTCTGAGCTTTTACAAAATTTAAATAGTTCAAGACATGCAAATTCAATAACGTTAGAAACGAGCCATTGGAGTGCCAGCGCAAAGACCATGAACAGGGAACTTGTTACTGTTGGGAAAACGTGGTTCATTTCCTCAAATGTCTTTTGAGGAACAATCACCCAGTGAGGATATCACAGCGTTCCTTTCAGTTGCCAAATTATATTGACCAGTCGACGATAGTGAAGGCAATGTTATATGAATCCATGAACAGCATCATCATCAAGAACATCAATAATGCAATGCAACCAGTAGCGGCCACTTGGATATTCGACCCACTCATGATCGAACCTTTTGGCGATTATAAAAGGGAACCTCTTCACACGCATCAGTTGCATCACAGACCAATCTTTGTCAGTTTCGCAGAACACATGGCCATCATGTCACAGAAGGCTGTGTTATTTCCTCTCATTTTTGGCTTAAGCTCATTTGCATTTATCCAAAGCCAAGATCAGCGCCAGCCTTCTTCTTTGACCTCCACCTCCTCCATTGTCAAGTACCACGGTGGTCCCCTCCTCACTAGAGCAAGAGGTGTCAATGTTTACCTCGAATGGTATGGAGCCTTTTCTCGATCAAACATAGCCTCCATAACCGATTTCTTTGCGTCCTTCAATCCTTTGAAGAGTCATCTTCCCCATCAAAAAGCCTTCTGTCGCAGCGTGGTGGAGAGCAATCCGTTCATACAAGGATAGCTCTGGCAAAGCAGCCTCCATAGCTGTTAGCCTTATCAAACAAGTAGGGGGCATATACTTACTAGGAAAAAGCATCAAGCATGCCCTTAATAGCCACCCTCATCAGGGACAAGATATCGAGCAAGATATTCCCATTAGATCCAAATGGAATATACTTGGTCTTGACTGCTAAAGATGTAAGCGTGGAGCGATTCTGTATGGGATCATGCGGCTTCCATGATAGCATCTGGGTATCCGAGAAAACAAGACTTGTATATGGACATGTAGGAGATTCATTGGTGCAGTGCCCAGGTGTGTGTGCATGGCCCCATGCGGTTCCAGCATATGGTCCACCGGGAAATGTTCTTGTGGCTCCTAATGGCGTAGACAGTGATGGTATGATTATTAACATTGGGGAAGTCGTATTGGTGGGAGCTGTGAGCCTGTGACTAATCCTTACAAGACGTGTTACTTTCAAGGCATTGCCTTGGCGCCACTTGAAGCAGTCACGGCATGTTCAGGAGTTTCTGGGGTTGAAGCTTATCCGGGATATCCAGGTGTTTTATTAGTGAATGAGTCTAGCAACGCAAGCTATAACGTGTATGGTGTAAATGGCAGGACATTCCTACTTCCTGCTATATAGGATCTCAACAAGTTCAACTGTAAGGTTATTGCTTGATGTTCAAAATAGGCTCCAAATACAAGATTTGGGCTCCTAGCACTTAATTGAGGGTAAGAGTGTTAGAAGAATTTGGTAATTATACAGCAGGAACAGTTGAACCAAGGCCTGAAGCTTGGCTTGGCTTGCCATTCTCTAGGTGAAGATCGTGATTTTATGAAAAAAACAAAAACAAAAAAATGAAGCAATGAGTAAACAAATAATAACTATAATGCAGATGCTGTAGCCCGTAGGCAACATGTTTGTTGCTCCCTAAATTACGCCAAACCCATTCTGGGCGCGTCTTTGCTGTGTACTGCACAATACTTGTACAGCAAACAAACAGCGCCCTCAAGCCATATTGATAGCTTGCGTTAAAGTCGCTGTAAGAACTCTTCTAAGGTTGCACTTTACAAATAGATCGAACTACTTCATCCCCTAAAATTTGTACCTCCAGGTTTTATCTGCAGCAAACATTACAAATTTGCAAAATTCAGCCTGAAATCACTTTCATCTTGATTTACGGAGATTTAGTGCATCTAAGACTACTTTGCCGAACCATTGATTATTCCTTGATTTGTCTAATAGCCAAGTCAACTAGCTCGCATATACTTGGTCGAAGTATGATAAATCTAATATAAAATACCCAACAATTTAAACATCTGAATTTTGCAAGTGGTAAAACGGTAGACGAGTAACAAAGAAAAGCACAGCCAGGGTGACAATAGTTTTCCTTTATTTTGGGTGAGCAAGTCCCGCATTATTGTATACTGTCAAATCTGGAGGGGTTCCTCCCTCAAGAATATCAATTTTGGACGTCAAAATTTAGCTTATTGAATCAATCATTCCTCAACCCAATCAAAGGATTAGGTTAAAAAATAATACTTAAATGGGGCAGGGAATTATCCCTGGAACTTTTAAAAACCTTGCAATTGGTCAATCAGTTGGGCCAATCATTTTCTCAGGCACCACAAGAGTGTCAAATTCTTCAGAGGTAAGTACTCCAAGCTTCAATGCAGCTTCCTGCAAAATTAGTTCTTAGTTTTTGTCAATCTCAATATTTTTTATCCAAAAAAAAAAATGTCATACAGGAATCCATTATAAAGGCATCAGCCCCTTCATATTAACATCTTTTTCCATCAATGACAGATTGACAGACAAAAATGGTTTGGCAAGCCAATGCTAGAGTTGAACATGGTGTGCAAATAACTTTACATATGATTGAAAAGTCGATTTTTCTTTTTTTTTTTTGCAAGTAGCAAATGTAAGTAGACAAAACAGTAAACTAATACATTTAGAGATCAGGCACACAAGATCCACTGAATCAAAGGAGTAAGAAGAATTGTTTTCTGGTGGTCAATGAGGGCTACTGCGGATTAACAAGGTATTATTACCTTAAGAGTGGCTCCCTCTTTGTGGGCTGTCTTGGCAACTGCCGCGGCTTTGTCATAGCCAATTTTCTGGAACCCAAGCATTAAAGCTGTTATTAAAAGATTGTGAAATTAAGGAAGTTACACGAATTCAGACGAGTAAGAACTTACTGGGTTCAAAGATGTGACAAGCATTAGTGACTGCAAGGAAATTTAAAAGATCAAACAATATAAATTAGCATTGCGGTATAAAAGAAGGTATAAAAAAACATTTTTGGCGCAAGCCACAACTCACCTCATGCAATAATTTTGAAATTCTTTCCCTATTAGCTTGAATACCTCTTACACAATTCTTTTCAAAGGAAGCTGATGCATCTCCGAGCAGTCTAAGTGACTATCAGATCAGAAATGAATAATAGATTTATATTAGTGCCGAAGCTAGGTAATATCGTTCCATATGAATATATTATATGAGATCAACAATATAGAAACCCACATAAGCATGTATTAAAATCCTCCAAGTATATGAGTAAAATTGCGTGTTTGACAAGAAGGAAGTCCATGTTAAAGTAATTTGTAGTTGGGAATAGAAAGACAACAGGGATGAAACATACATGCAGGAGACAACTTGCAATCATCGGTTTAAATACATTGAGTTCAAAATGACCATTTGATCCACCCACTGTGATGGCTACATGGTTTCCCATGACCTGAAAGTTAAAATAAACTGTCAATCATAACTTTAGCTCTAAACATAATCATAATCACTACAGAAATGAAAATGCATGAGCATGGGAAAAGAAACATGCACTAGTTCTTGGAAAGAAATACTAAGTCTCCAAGCCTACATAACGCACGCTATCAGAAGTTCAGGGCCTAACTGATCATATATAATTATCATCTCAATGAAACAGAGCATGTTAATCTTTACCTGTGCACAGACCATTGTTAGAGCCTCACACTGGGTAGGATTAACCTTCCCCTGAACAGAAAAAAAAATGAAGCATTACAATCCACTCTTAATTGAAGATAAATAGATGAATAAGATATATCAAACAAAAAGAAACAGGCTTATTTGAGAACAACCGTATGTTAACAAGGAATGAGAATCTTACAGGCATAATACTGCTTCCAGGTTCGTTTTCAGGAAGAATGAGTTCACCAAGGCCACAACGTGGACCACTATTATAGGACAACATTGTAAGAACTCACAGATGAATAAAAATAACTTAGAAGTAATTTGTTCGTTATCACAATTCTAGCATGCCAACCTTCCCAATAAACGTATATCATTTGCAATCTTCATTAAAGATGTTGCGACTGTGTTGAGGGCTCCACTGGTTTCAACAAAAGCATCATGGGCAGCCTGCAAAGTGAGAATATGAAGTTATGGCAGTGCCAATTTTGCTACATGAGACGCAAGATTAAAAGCACAAACTAGTTAAATCAAACTAGCATACAACGAATCAAGGACAGGAAAAATAAATTAGTTTCAGCTACAAACCAAGGCCTCAAACTTATTTTCTGCTGTGACAAAAGGCAGGTTTGTTTCCTCAGCTACTGCTGCTGCTATCTTAACATCAAACCTAAAATGACAGCCAGAAAACAACTGTTTAAATAAAGCCACATATATTCTCTTCAACTTAATAAAGTATTGATTTGCCAATATAGCATAAGTTCAAACGCACAGCTTGTCTAGAGAATACATACTATCACTTCGAAAATGCATTTAAAATTCGTTTTCAACAAATACATGCTAAAAGCCTATAAGTTCAAAACACAAGTGTATGTGCACAGGCAGTCAATGCTAATAGTAGATTTCAACAAATTCTTTTTGCATTGGATTGTTTTACAAAATGAAACCAGGGTTGATCAAAAGCTCTCATACAACGGAGCAAAAGAAAGCTTCAACTAATATAGTCGTTTTGGAAGACATCATAATCAAGGTTGAAATTTCACAAATACATGGGAAAAACTAAGAAATGCATCTGAAACCAAAATCATATGTACCCCTTCTTTGTATTCAATCCAGTCCCAACAGCTGTTCCACCCTGTGCCAGCTGCTCAAAAAATCCAACCAGTTAGAACTCAAAAACCAAACAAATGAAAGAAATATCAGTTAATGCTTGTGCTTTGACGTCTAACCTGATAAATTCGGGGTAAAGTACACATCACTCGATCAATTCCATACTTCACCTGTTGATAAATGACAAGGCAATTAAGAAATGACTCATCATGAGCTATAAGTGTCAATGATGTCCATTCAACAACAACAAGCTAGACATCATAACAAGAGAAAATTAAGCTTACTTGTGTAGTATAGCCACTAAATTCCTGCCCAAGAGTTAATGGAGTTGCATCTTGAGTATGGGTGCGCCCAATCTTCACAATATCTTTGAACTCAACAGACTGGACATTTTGGGGAAAAAGAGAAATTGGCAGAGATAGAACAAATCAATAATAAATGCCAAAAAAATTATAAAAATACATGAAGAAGCATATCATAGAACCTTAAGAGTTAAGGTCTCTGATATTTAACAGGTCACAAAGACAATGGCAAATCCAAGTTGCAAAGTTTTAAGACAAAAGGAAAAGTGAGAGAAAGAACTAGAGAAACCATAGGTTCAGGACAGGATACAAAATATATATATATATATATATATCATGCAATAATACATCCAAGGTTTCAACATGAACCCTAAGATGAACATAAGTGATTGATAACCAAGTTGGATGGAGAACCTTCTCCAAAGGCCAGCTATTGAAGTAGGAGGACCAACCCATTGGAGAATTCTATAAAGTAGCTCATACCACACTCAATGTGAGACTAAGCAGCATATACTATTTTGGTCTCCATCAATTAGCTACCTTTGACGAGATGAAGTCTTGGAAACTACATTTTGTAAAGCTTAACTCAACTTCCTTGCCAATCAAGACCCTCTACCGGTGAACACTCTCCACAGCTAGACGTTTGTGGAAATCAACCACCAGCTCCATTCTCAATTTAGTACAAAGAAGAGAACAAAACTGGTACTCAATACCAGAATATGTATTCAACAATTCACCAATCACTTAAAACATCAATCTTCCACTATTCTCTACGTATATCCCCTAAGAGAGCAGACTATATTGGGTATTTAGTGGCGTAACCAGTTCTAGAAAACACTGAACTAACATAGAGCTATTTAGTTTCTTATTTTTATTCTCGTTTATCATGCTTACAAGTTACATGTATCAGCAAGACTAGAATGAAACCAACCCATGAACTTCTCCTATAGATCTCAGAATCAGATGGAGAATATCACTGGTATGACTCACAAGGGCATTTGATAACATAAAAGGTACGCAATATATCACCTCCTGACAAGAGCAGGAGCAATCCACTCATCATGCTATAACTTTTTTTTTTTGGAAAGTATGAACTAGAAACCAAAGTATCGAACCTTGGAATGTAGTGAAGAATGTAAGGTTTTCAGTTTTGGAATTAGTCTTGAATTTATTTCCATTGCAGCTGCAATGTGCATTACCTGGAGTTAGAAACAAACAATAAATAAACAAACATAAAATATTGAAAAATTATAAGAAAAAGAATATTCATCTTTTTCAGCAACAAGACAACAGTTGATAAAGAAAGTCAAAAACTGCAGCTACAGTTCAAAAGGACTAGGCAATAGCAATTACCTGTAAGTGTAAGGAATAACTAGCCAATTTTATTGCTCAGGTAGAGGATTAAAGGGATTAAGACCACCAAAGGGAATACAACTTACAGTTGGGAATGTGTCATTAGAAGATTGTGATCTATTGACATGGTCATTTGGGTGCACAAACTTTTCACCACGCTTATGACCAAGAATCTCAGCTGCTCTGTTTGCAATAACCTGCGAAACAGGACGTCATTTCTTTAACATCAGACAATGCAATCATCGAATGGAGGGTTCATTTCATCAAATAAATGATCATGTATCCTGGACTAAACAAAATACTTGGAAGCGGTACGATATGCCGTGATGAATAATATTCCAGAATTGTTTCGAGGAAAACAATAATAACAAGCCCACCAGGTTTGCTGCAGTATTCAAATCAGACCACTGACCTCATTAGCATTCATGTTGCTTTGAGTGCCACTGCCAGTTTGCCATACAACTAGTGGAAAATGGTCATTTAGCTTCCCCTCGGCTACTTCTTGTGCTGCCCTCATTATAGCTTTCCCAATGGTGGGATCAAGTCCATATTCTATGTTCACCTACATTAGAAGCATGAATACCCGTCAGGAGGGCCGATTTTTCTGGTTGAACTAGGATAATAATAGAACGAATTTTCAAGAATTCCAGTAAAGCCAAAACAGCCGAGACTAAAATTGAAATTAACGGCAGCATATGATTTAGCCCACACACCCAACACACCAGAAGTGCCAGAACCATTCATCAATTAAAAATAAAACAATTTTTTTAAAAAATATATATATAGGGTTAAAGGGCAAGCTTGCCCTCATAACCCAGTTTATATTGGGCGTTAATAATTGGAATATTGCGATATAGCTATCTGCGAAAGCAGTCAAGGGTTAGGATTTCGACGCGAAAACAACCTTCGCAGCGGCTTTCTTTAAGATGCCAAAGGCGCGAATAATGGGTTCAGGCATTCGTTCACGCTCGCCACCAATATCAAAATTCTGCAACGACCTTTGAGTTTGCGCTCCCCATAATCTGAAAGAAACAATATCTCATTTGACATAAACAAATGAAGCATTTGATTTACTTCGAAAGTGAAATAAAAGAATATTTCATGAAGAGTAAGACATGAAACAAAAAAAAGTACCTGTCGGATGGAACTTGAATTGGTCCAAAGGTATCTTTTTCTTCTCTGAACGAAGTAGAATATGATCTCGAACAGAAAGCGAGACGCAAGGCCAGGGAAGGCTGCGCCGTCGTTGTTCCACTCGTTAAACGCCGTGAAAGAACGTAGAGAACCATCCTCTGTCCTTTTGAATGAGGACGCAGTTAGCAACCAAGGATGTGGAAGCCACCGGAAGTGTGGGAAGTTGAAAAGGTAAAAGATGAACGATCTGGTAGAGGGAAGATGGAGGCCGGATTAAAGCATAGGTCAGCTTTCGACCGAATGATGGGCTGCGGCCATGTGACGCCGTTGCATTCGAGAATGAGTTTTTCATTTTTCATTTTTTGAAAAATCGAGTTCTCGTTGCTCTCTTATCTTGAATGTCTTTTTGGGACCGGATTATTAGAAAGGATGATTGAAAGGAAAATGGATCTAGCAAGAATTAATACAAAAAGAATCATCAATCATTTAATGATTTCAATTTCATAGAAATCAAAATATAAGTAAAATTTTAATTAGAATTATTATTAAAAATTGTAAGATGATAGTTATAATATTATTATTTAAAGTATATTTCATTTTATTTATAAATTTTTTTAACATGTTTTATTATTGAAATAAAAAATCTTAAAATTTATTATTTTTAAAATTTAATAAATTTTTAATTTTGTTTCTAATAGGCACACTCTAATCTAGTAATAGCAATGTCATTTTTACCAATCTCATCAATATTAATAAAAAAAAGTGTAAAAAATAAAAGTGTGTAGAATTTTAAATATGTTTTTATATAAAAAATTTTAAAAATAAAGTCACGTTACCTTTTCTCTCTTGTGAAAGATAATTTTAAAAATATTTTTTAAATATTACTTAAAAATTTACACCATGACTTGTAAATTAGATCAAATGGACCTTATAAAATGTGATTTATAAATGAAACCGGCACACTCCAACAATAACATATTCTCTCCAGTCCGATTTATAAGCCCGTTGCATCCAACTTGTGTGGTCATCATTTAAGATTGATCTGCAATCACCTTGATCTGTCTGCTTTCATCGTCGGACAATAAAAGTTGTTATTAACAAAGAATATTTTGATGTCGTCCCGTACTAATCCTTATGCATTGTTTGGTATCAAACCATTGATATCAACTAAGATCGAACTATCATTATTAATTGAGACTAGACCATTGATGTCACTTGGGTTTGGACAACCGAAGTCGATTGAGACTTGGTGGCCACCCCTAATCAAGACTGAACCGTTGACTTTGATTAGGATTAAAGTGTCGAATGAGTTGCTTTTAAATTTAAATATAAAATATAAAATTTTATTTAAGATCCAAATAAAGTATTTTTAATATAATTTAAAATTTTTTATATTATCTAAATAAATAATTTTAAATCTAAATTTTTAATCTAAATTCACCCATTCAAACACAATTTAAGATTAAACAGTGATTATGTTTAGATTATTCTTAAATTGAAGTTGGAATAGCTCAAATCTCAGCTGGCAAGGTGTAACGCTCATTGTTTCATCTAAATTCTTGTTCGGGAGGGGGGGGGGAACAAACAAACATTTTAGCCTCCAACAAGCGTTACTCCGAATGCTAGATTTTAGAACCTTTCAACGGGCCTTAGATTTCTTTCTTCTTATCCTCTCACCCACCCTTTACCTCTTACTCTGTCTTCACTTCAAGCATGCGCCGATCGTTGCCTCCAGCACCTTCTCACGGACGTCATTGACAATTGAGATAAAAGAACTAACAGATGGAGTTATACGCGGGTGAGCCATGAGTGATCAATGAAGATTGAGAGTTGGAGAGGCGTGGCAAGGGAAGGTAGAAGTAAATGTTGCTGCCTGTGACCTGTGGGAGTGTGGAGGAGACGCCGCAATGGTAAGGAAGGCAGTAAAGTCACGAACTGATCGTGAATTGGTGGAGCGATAGTAATGTCTAGGGTTTCCAAATAACACTTAATAAATTTAACATAAAAATATAATTATTATGTATCAAAATAAGTAATTTAAATATTAAAAAATGATTTCAACAAATCACCCGTGCCTTTTTTAATAAAAATGTAAATAATGTTACATTTTATGTCAATTTAAATATTTTTTGATAAAATAAAAAATAATGTACATTACATAATAAAGTTAAAATATCTTTTTTTTGCCTGCAAATTAAAATAGCTTGATTAAATATATAAATTAAATATCTTAATTTAAATTTAAATTTTAAATTTCAAATCTCACATTTAAAATCTATATATGTAAAATTAATCCTTTATTACTAGTATTATATATTTTATCATTTATGAATTTATTTTATCTTTTTAGAATTGAATATTTTGTAATTATAAGTTTACAACTTTACATAATTAAATATTTCATAATTTACCATTTCATTCTACCTCTTTAACATTGAGATTTTTTAATTCATAATCTATTTTATATTTTTAATCGACATTTTTAAAATATTAATTTTATGTTTAATATTTTTTCTAAAATGTCAAGATCACAATATATAATTGCTCTCCTTTTAAGGCTGGGTTTTGGACTTAAGGCACTGGTTTACCTGATTTTTACAACAAAAACCCTAATCCAGAATAAAAGAATTTGGTGATACAAGCAACGGGCATTATTGTTGCATTATCTGTATCTGTGTAATACAAATTACATTTATACTTTATACAACCAAAAATAATAAAAGCATCACAGAGAAAACATCTCTCCCCACGCCACCCCCCTTCGATCTACAACTGTTTAAAAAAATGGAAAGAAATAATTAAAAAAATCACCCTTTTGACGTGTAATTTTTAAAACGTTCACTTTCTCATCCCAGTTTTACGTTTGACGTCAACCGAAGCTGGATGCCTTCCTGATCGATGCGAGACACCATTTGATTGTTTCCGTGAAGGTGAAGGACCAAGAGAAGAATTGATGATATTCTTGCTGAATAAATTGCCAACAAAACTAATATTAATTTCCAAAAAAAGAATGTGAATCAAAATTTTTGAGGTGGAGCTAAAAGTGAATTTAAGCTGATGAAATTTTACGGGGATTAAGTTACCTCAGTTCCTGGCCTTTTGGTAACTTTGAGACAGATGCCTTGGTGTTTAGCCCAATGCCCTTGGCGACGCCAGGAAGTTTGGAATAATTAAACTGCCAAAGTAAGTCGTGTTCCGATGAATCACTGGTTGCAGCATCGAGATCGTCCATGCCATCTGAACCTGCGGTGCTGAACTGGTTGCCTCCCACGAACATATTATAGGACTGATCAGTGTATATCTTGGAAGAATCTTGGAGGTATTTCTGATAAAAGACATCAGACAAGTGCCCATTGTCTGCTCCCCAACTCCCCAAGGGCTCAGTTTTGCTGACATCTTGCTTATTTACCATGACCTTATCAACCCACTCTCCCGACGCAGTTTCTTTATCATCTTCCCCGTAGTTTGGTCCAGGACTACTCACTGGGGGCCAAGGCGGTGAATTTGTTGATATCTCATCAAAATCGAAGTTCTGGGCTTTTGGCTTCAATGTGCTATTACTGTGAAGCTGCAGGATCAATGGAAATCACATAACTAAACAAACCATTTTAAGTGACTGGGGAAAACAACATGACTGAAATTCTCTACTCTCATCAGAAAGCCATTAGGAAATGAAGCACACCTCTATGTTGCCAACATCAACCATAGGTTGCCGACATCCAAGGTGATCCGCCACTGTATCTGCACCCCGTTTGTTAGTATGATAAGGTGAGAGCTCACTGCTAGCCTTTTTCCTGTATCTTTCAGAGCTTCCATATAAAGAATGCGGTACGTGTTCTGATTCTCCCTCCCTTCTTGCCAACGCTGCCTTAAGGCTAACAATCTGTCGAACAGATTAATTGTTCAACCAGATGAAGTAACTTGTAACCAGAAATGAGTCAGAAGAACAAGCAGAACTGTTAAGAAATCAGAAGAACCTGTTCCTTGAGCTCTTTAACATCTGCACTATCTTTGTTTACTCGAGCAGCTCCCAGCTCAACAGTAGCAACTCTTTCGGCAAATTTTAAGGTGCTAATTGTTTCTCCAAGAGCGTCACTCTCAGGACTCATGTGGACGAACATCAGTGTCTTGGCCTGTCCTCCTGAAAAATCCAAGCCCACATATTGAGAAGCGTGAAAACTTGCTAAAACTGCAATGTAAACTACGTCTAACCTGCAAGCAAACCAAAACTTACTCTTACCAAGTGAATCTTGGAGCAATTGTGTGAGTTTGCTGTTTCTGTAAGGAACGTGAGGATTTTTCTGAGCAAGGGAAGCGATGACATCACCCAGAGCTGAGAGAGATTTGTTAATATGCTGTGCCTCTTTTAGTCTATCTCCCGTGGCCTCCGATTTGTCTACCCTCTCACTTCCAGCCAAGTCAACAAGATGCATGCATCCCCGAAGAATAGTTCCTGATGTCAAATCTGTTCCTTGAACATGAACAGTCAAGCAACTGCAAAATTGTAAGACAGTAGTTAACTCCGTCAATGTCACAACAAAAACAAGGGGAGAAAGATAACAAGAAATGAATGGATTATAAACATGCCTATGAGAGCGGCTACTTCTATCATTAAGGGCAGTTGCTCCAACAGCACGGTTCCTTTGCCCCAGGTTCATCAAATCAATAACATCAGGAGTTGAGGATACAGGAACGAGGCTTGCATCCGGCACACTGAGCCCCTTATGAGAACTATTTCGAATTTCTAATGTATTCATGGTCAAGTGCAACTGAGCAAGCAACAGCATTAAAATAAACATGGAAGATATACGAGGGCGACGCAATTATATGAATGGTAAAAGGATATCTTCTATTGCTTCCATCGGTAACTAGCAAATCTCTGACTTGCTCATTATAAATCTCAATCATTTGAACAGACACATCATAACGAAAAGTGTCCTTTCGATGATCTGCTAGAAGAAACAAGTCACCCAGAGCCCGATAGTTTACACCTTGGCTTTTCTCTGTAATCTCTTTGGGTCCAGTCTAAATGTATACAACATGTATCAGCGAAATATTATTAAAATTCCAAAATTTAGGAAATAAATTCAAAGTACATCCTACCATAGTGTAAGTTTTTCCTGATCCTGTTTGACCATACGCGAATATGCAAACGTTATACCCATCAAGAACAGACCTAATGAGAGGCTGCATGTCGGAGAAGACCTCCGCTGCAATGCAGTAACAGATGAGTTTTTAATCCATGTTCAGATTTACAAATTCGAGAGATACTGGAGAAAAGAATCAAACCTTGGGTTGCAGATGGTCCAAAGACTTTGTTAAAGTTAAAAGAT